AGTGTGTTTTTCGTCCAAGGCGCGCGTGATTTCCAAACGGTTCAAGGGTTCGGAACGAGCTCGCAAACAATATTTCTCAACCGATAAATCCAGCTGCTAAAAGATCGCTCTTTTCAACGGGGCTCTTCGGACTATGGGTATGCTGAACCTCAAAACTACTGGGAAGCAATGTTAGATACGTCAAGCCCCGTTCTTCTAAGCTTTCCGAAAATTATATCATGTAAAACAAGACATTTTCATATCCCATTATCCATACCGAACGGAAGCTTGAAAAGGTTACACAAGCAATCACCGGCAAGCCAACGCAGCAACTCATCGGTAGCAGTATTTAAACTTACATGGACCGAAACGTCTTATCTCACGTTTATTTTCTTCTCGACTGTTCTATTATTCTGTAAGCTATCATGCCTTCGCCATTTAGGCTTCCAAGGTCAACCTAGTTGCTACAATCGGCTTACAACTTCGACTCATTTCACTTTCTAACAGTGATACAAACGCTCATCCCAGTCAACCACAGTACAAGCGCGACGCCAATTTTAAGCTTAACCTGTTTCGAAAGTTCAATTGCATTCATTCGATCGCGAAAATTTTGTTCGAATGAGGATTCGGAAGGAGTCGACGTTGAGACGGACTCTAAGTCCGCTAGTGGTAACCTGAAAAGGGAAAAAACTGGAATAAGCAGCCTCATTAATTTTAAAAGTTGTCCAGTAAATGAGAATAAAAAAAACCTTGTTTCTGAAGTAGCACGATGGCCGTGGGATTGATTCGATTTTTCCAATTCCATCGCATGATACGCCCGTAACTGCGAATCGGCAACTTGTAGTTTATCCACCTAACAGAGTGCCTTCTACTTATTTTTTAAGAACTAGCAAAAAATCGTCCCACATGCCTTCAACTCAAGCACCTCGTTATCACGATATGGGGCGCAACGAACTAGAAAATGCTTAAACATAGCAGCACACAAGCCCCGGAAACTCCCAGCAATATCGCTCGCATAGTATCACACATTCATACATACATACATACATACATACATACATACATACATACATACATACATATACACACCATCCACCGAGCAGTTTTGATATTTTTGATAAAAAATGAATCTACAGATTGCAACGGTCAAAAAAATGTCTTACAGTTAATCGATGGTGAAATTTGAGATCGTTTATACGTATCGCCGCTGACTCCTCCACTAATTTCAGCTGTTTTTTGAGATTGCTAATGGATGTTTCTTGCCTTCCTAATTTCTTCCTCAATTCTTCGTTCTGAAATTTAAAAGAATTATAATTTGCCTCATTTAAAAGAACGCTTTCAATATTTGAAATTCTGGGCATTATCAGTACTTCCTACTTTCAGTATAAGACAACAATTAGAGCAAATTTTTTTTTTAATTTTAGGATATAATTATTCCATAATAATTACCAATCCACAGCTAACAATGTGCTGAACATGCATGCGCATATATATTTAAATTATTAATGTCTTAATATAGGTTCGATATTTTCACGACAGCAACAGACAATACTTGGCTTCAGAAAAATATCTCGGACAAGAATTTCACTACTAAAAATGTCTATCTTCCTTCTTTCTAACCTCTCAATTAACTTCTCCTTTATAGCCGTTTAACCTTTATCTCTTGCGAAGAATTTACATTATAATATCAATAAACTTTTCAAAACCCATTCTGCCAAAACCGTTGTACTGATGAGGCTCAGATGCGGCTTTGGTAAGAAATGTATACAACTTCATGGAAAGATACAATTCTTACCAGCTTCTAAGATTTTTCTATCCTTTCTTTTATACCACCTTATTTTCCTTTTTTTTTTTCGCGTACTCCACACTTAATTTTATAAAAAATTCTATTAACTTTGCACCAAGCACCCTGATCAAAATCCGAATTTAATTCAGAATGTTCAAATGTTTGCGATACAAGGAAAAAAAACAAAGATCAAGGAAAATGAAACAAAATCAGAAATCCACCTCCTCTAAGAGTTTGTCATTTTGCATTTGCAAAATTTTCACACGTTCATCCGTTTTCCTTTTGCTTTCGCTGGCACCTTTTAATGCTAATTCAGTCTTCGACAATTTTTCTTGATATTGAGCCATTTCCTCCTGACAAAAATCAGAATTTTTCTTTTTTTTTACAGAAAGCGCCAGTACTCGTAAAAACGACGAGTAAAGAAAAATATTTTTTTTAGAACTGAATACCCTATAGCTATTATAGGGTACTGAATACCCTATACTTATAATAGCTAAGCTTGACAATCTTAAAAAAAGCTTGATGATTCCTTTTTTCCAGTAAACTTATCTGGTCGTGCTCTCTTTACTTTTTTCTGTAATCCATCTGTATTCCATTTTATACTTTTTAGTTAAGTTTTTCCCCGTGGTACTTAATATACAATTAGTAACAACTTGAAATAATTAAATTAACGCTTTGAACCGATAATCTCTCAAGGAGACAAAACAAACGTAAAAACTGCCAGCAGGATGACCACTAAGTGCCCAATATTGCTCAAAGCGACTGGAAAACTGCTAGCTGAAGAAATCGCCAAGAACTGGCCTTGGTCAAAATATGGAATTATTGCTTTTCTAATTTTTGAAGTCAAAAACCTTTCCTATTCCTTCCACTGTGAGGTGAGTACTTTTCCTCAATCAGTATTTCTCTAAAATTGCATTTCTAACCCTAAGTAACATAAATGCAGGTTTACCTCAAATTTTTTAACCTGTTCAAGCTCCTGCTTTTCTGAAATTTCACGTATTCTGGCCCACACGGCATCGCATCTTTTGACCAATGCTGCTTCTTTTTGATTCCACTCAGAAACCTAGGAAAACAGAAATGTAAATTTAACGCATTCGAAACAGCCCATCTACTTGGCTTCAGCAATTCGGTACGAAAAACAGGTCAACAAGAGCTAAAAAGAAGCCGCTTTTTATTTTAAAATAGAGCCAGTAAAAATGCCTGTTCTACAAAAAAAGGGAAAAATTCAGTAGAACAAATAATGTTCCAAAAATATCATGAGTAGAACGGGTACAATGCCAATACACTGATTACCATCTGCGCCATATGCACTCTGTTTTGTTCGCGTGCTCTTTTGAGCTCTTCTTGCAGCTTTTTCTCGGCAGCCCTTTCCCGAGATACCAGAGTTTCCTTGAACCTTTCCACCGTTCGCCTTTCTTGATCGATTCGATGCAGCTCATTTTCTTTCTTCCTGCATTCAAAATCTCCAGTACTTCTCTAAATTCGATCATAGCTTAACAAGAAAGAAGAAACAGAACATGCAAAATCCCTCGAAAGCACAGAAACGCTGGTGATTTAAATAAACAATACAGTAAATTCATTTTTACACCAGAACGGTACAGAAAGGCCTTAAATCCTTAAAAGGAACTGACTCCTAGTTGCTAATCAAGCGATGCCTAGTTCTTGATCATGAAGGCACACATAAAAGAATTTCAATGATGCCTAAAACAAAAGCAAAGCAACGTGAATAAAATAAAAAAAGTCTGTTTTTTTACGATAAAAAATTCGCTTGAGCATCGTCGAGTAGTTGCTGGCGGAACT